TACTTTTGCTAAATATTATTTATAGTGTAAAGGGGAGCAACTATTTGCTCCTCTTCTTTACTCTCTACTTCCTCTTTAGCCTCTACTCTAGCTACTACTTCTTATTATAGACTAGCTATCTTAGAGGGTTCTTAAACCTTAGAGGAGGCACTTAGTATAGTCTACTCTACTAGTAGAGAATGTATTGTTAACGTGTTTAGAATATATTCTTAAGTATTTACTATTAAGCTCCTATAGAAGATCCTTGCTTCTATAATACCTTATATTATAGTTCTACTATAGTTTACTAGGGCTATTTAAACCTTAGGATAATACCTCTTAAGGTAGTAGATAAGATTGCCTCTATTAGAGAAGCAACGCTAAAATAGTTATTAATATATTATAAACGTGTTCTAACTTATATATATATATACTCCATAAAGTTCCTATACCCCTAATCTAGCCTAAATAGCCTAGTAGAAAAGCTTGCTAGGAAATACTATACACCTATTATTTAGGTAGGATATTATAGAAAAGAATGCCTTAGTATTAGATAGAAGTAACTTAAGCTTAATATATTACTAGTATAAATCCTACTTAGTATTAGAATAAGTTTATAATATATTCCTAACGCGTTCTATTATATACTAACTTTAAAAGATCTTTATAGACTATATTAACTAGTTATATCTAATAATATTAGGAAAGATAGATAGTAAAATAGTATTAAACTCTTAAATATAAAAAGTTCTTATAGAGTGTAAGAAGAAAGAAGAAGAAAGAGAAGAAGAAAGAATATATATTTATCTACTTATATATACTTATATAATAGACTAGAATATATTAAGAACTAGTTAGGAACTAGTTACTATATTTATAGACTAACCCTACCTTATATAAAAAGTAGCTATCTCTTTCTTAAGTTTAAACTATACCTTTTGTAATTTAAATAGTGCCTTTTTCTATACAAGTTCTTCCTTATCTACCTCTAGCTTTTCTTTTCTCTCCTTTAGAGCCTAATTACTAAGAAGAGCCTTTTATTATAAAGTTTATAGTTATAGACTAATAATAAGTTAGGAATATATTATAAACGTGTTTTACAAAGCATACCTTTAGGTTACTATTAGTAGAGGAGAAGAGCCTAGTAGTAGAGAAGATAGAAAAGGGGCTAGTAAACTTCTTTCTAATACTACTCTACTACTTGCCCTCTAGCTTTAGGCTTTTAAGCATGCTCTTTTATTTCTTATTAGGACTTAGATATATCTAGTTAAGTTAGATATAGCAAGACTTGCTTTATTATTATCTAGAGTATTATTATTATTATAGGACGTGTTCTAAATATATTCTAAATATATTTTAATTAGTAAATATATATAACGCTAGCGTAAGACTTACTTTCTCCCCTCTAAAGCTTTTTAAGGTACCTTTACTTAAGCCTATTAGGAGTTCTATAGTTATAGCGTATTCTAAACTTGCTCTAGGCTTTAAACTCTTTTATATCCTATAGATCTATCTAGTGTGCACTATATAATATTACTTATACAATTCTAATAGGTTAAGAATAGGTTATAAACTTACTTCTAAGTAGCCTTAAGAATACTTATATGCTTACTAGTTTTATATCCTTTCTAGCCTGCTTGCTTAGCTATATTTAAATAAGATTCTAGTTTTTCCTATACCTTTTTTAATATTTTACTATAGTATTATATAATCCTAGTAGTAATTACTAGGTTTTTCTTATAGATTACCTAGTTTTAGGTATCTTTAGAGGGTTTGTATTCTAATTATATAAGAACAAGTTAGGAATATATTTAGAATAGGTTTAGAATATATTTACTTATATAAGAGGAGGTTAGTAAGCTAAAAGTATTCCTCTACTATTAATACCTATAGTAATTTACTTAGATATAAAGAGGTAGTATTATCTAGCTCTCTTTTATATACTTTATAAATACTTCTTTATAGATATACTTAATAAAATCTTATATAAGATTAAAGTTACTAGCGCTAGTTACGCTTATAGGGATTAATTAACTAGAGATAGCGCCTAAGTCCTAGAAACAAGTTAGAAATATATTATAAATAGGTTGTGGTGCACTATAAAACTTACCTATTATCTGCTTATTATATATATTAATAGTAGTCCTATAGAATCCCTATAAGTAAATATACCTCTATAATACTTGTCTTTTTATAAGTGCTTTACACTTCTAAAAGAAGTTAGTAATAGTAACTTAATATATCTTAGTTATATCCTTATCTATAATAATTTAGCTAAGTATAATAACTATAATATATTAGAAATGTGTTATAAACCTATTCTTAATATATACGCTTCTTTTCCTATAGGTAGAAGATTACTATTAGAATCTCTACCTATGCCCTATATAACCTCTTATATAATATATCTATCTAGAACATGTCTTAATCTAATAGAATTAATACCTACTCTTTAAAAAGGCAAATAATTAAGTTACCTAAGCTTAATATAAAGATTTGCTATATATACGCCTATAGTAATATATTAGTAATATATTCTAAACCTATTCTCTTATACCATGTATAGTTTTAGGATCCTAATACTTTGTCCTCTACTTATAGTGTACTCCTCTAAGGCTACTCTTAAATAGGAACTATAGAAGCTTTTTACACTTTATAATACGCGAGATTTTATCTTTATTTATAAAGCTAATATATATTTCTTTAATAAAATAGAAACCTTTAAGTTAAAGATAGGTTTAGAGCTAGGTTAAGTTTAGGAACTAGGCTATAATAAGTTAGGAATATATTTATAATAGGTTATAAACAACTTATATTATATAAGCTATAGAGTAAGTATAGGCTATAACACCTTTACTACTTCCTTAATATTACTATTAAATAGTATTAAGGGAGGAGGAGGTATATGTGTATATATACTAAAAGAAATAATAGTAAAAAAAGGTATTACTATTATATCTATTAGTATAATTACTTAGAAGGTAACTTTATATAGGATTTTAAATAGAGATCCTTGCCCTTATAGATAATTAACGCCTAGAACATATTAGGAACATGTTAGGAATAGGTTGTAATATGCCTACCACACTTCTTTATCTAGCTTAACTGTAGCTTAACCACAGAATATAAAGCAGGACTACTAGAAAGATTTAATATCTCCCTAGTTAGAAGACCTTATAGATATATAGAGTCTACCTCTAGTAGTACCTAACTAAAATAATATTTTTTCCTAGTAGTAGATATTAGGCTATAGTTCTAATAGCTAATATATAGTTAAGCCTATTCTATAATTTACTAACTTATTATTAACACGTTTTAAACATGTTTAAGTTTTGCTCCCTACCTAATTTACTATAGTCCTTATTATAGGATAATAAGACACCTAGTAGTCCTTATAAATCCTTAAAGAGAAGCGCTTAATAAGGCTATAATAATAGCTTCTTATTTATAGTTCTCTTTATAGAATTTTCTTAGGTACTACACTTTTTAAGGTTTAGATCTAATTATATAATGTATTATTAATAATATAATAAGAATATGTTTATAATATATTCTTAAGATACTTACACGCTTTTACCCTAGAGTATTAGTATTTATACTAGCTTACTAGCTAGCTATTAAAGAATAGTAAAGTTGTAGGCCTATTAAGATAGATAGACTAGCAGGAGTATTGTACCTGCTAGAATTAGAATAATTTAAGAACATATTCTTAACGTGTTACCTATATAGCCTATATAAGCACCTCTTCTCTTATTAGGTAAGAGCTATCTTTATATTACTAAACTAGTATTATATACCTATACCCTTAGCTATATAATTAAGGGTATACTAGGAGAATAGCTATATACTTAATAATTACTAGTGTAAGTAGTAGTCCTTAACTATTACTATAAGTAAGGTATATATTATGCCCCTATAACGTGTTACTAACCTATTCTAAACTTATTCTATTTACTTTTACTTACTTCCTTAATACTACTACTACTATCCTCCTCTAGCACTTTATATAGTTGCCTAAATTTATCTCTAATATTACTATCTAGTTTAGATACGTTATTTAGTACTACTATACTAAACTCTAGTATAGTATTTAGGAACACCTATATATTATTAAGAATAGGTTTAGAATATATTTAAAAAAGATAGTAATAAAAACTATATTTACTTACTTAAATTACCCTAATTTATACTTAACTATAGGCTAGTTTATATAACTATAAAAATTTGCTACTATAATATAGACTTAAACCTATAGGGATATTCTAACTACTTAAAGTAAAGCCTAAGTTACCTAACGCTAAACCTATAGTTATATAACATGCCACCACTTATATAACTATAAAAATTTGCCGCTGTGACGTGGACTTGAACCTACAGGGATATTCTAACCACTTGGAGTAAAGCCTAAGTCGCCCGACGCTAAACCCATGGTCATATGACATGCCACCACGCATTTAAGGCCTATTCATACGCTTCAGCCTTAAATGATGGCTTTCGATGGTATGATTGCATCGTTAACCTTATGCGGTCATCTTGGGCAAATACGCCATGCTAGTGAATGACCTCCTGAGCTGCGTGTTGGCCCGTTCGTGAACAACAGCCCAACCTCATCTCATTGCACGAATCTCAAACATTTCTGGCACTAGCTTTGACTGGTTCTGAACCGCCAACCTTGGGCCTGAGATGAAAAGCTACACAAGTACGACCCCCTATCTGACAGGCGAGAGTCTGAGCGCGACATATTCCCATTGTCCGTCTGCCTCTACATAAGCTGAATGGATGCTGTGTCGCTCAATTCCTATTCCTCAGCTCCATTTAGCCAGAAATGACTGGGTGATCGGCAAAGCATTGCAGGCGTCTAAGACAAGGCTCGGGCGCATATGCAAGTTAGTCGATAGGCGCAAGCTTTCTCTGTTTTAAGCAGATCTCAACGCGAACGAATAACGGGCAACATATGTAAGCCATCACGCGTAGAACTCCTGCGATTCGCCAGTGGACCCAGAGTAGGGCGGGCAGTGGTACTAGAGGTTGCGGCCACCACGGCCGATGCACTGATCATCAAGAATCCAAAGATATTGATGCAGGCAGTGTGGAGAAACTACCTTCGACATTTCTTCACGACCTTGTATTGACAGAGCGCACGACAGACCTGTGAGTACAACACTCTATCAGCTTTTCTGTTAGTTCCTGTCAGTAAAATTCGTCCAAACCAATCATGATAAGATGAGGTATCTCCGCTTCACATCTTGATCCAGGTCATTTGATTCATATCCGGCACCCCACTTGCGTGCGTGATTGACTGAGGCTCCGCGTGGCGTTATTGATTGAGTCGGCAAGTAGGAGAGGACACACGGACGGCCCGAACACATTAACTTACGGGTAAACATAGAAGAGATCTGGTCACGGTTCTCCGCCACTTCGACCTTTGCGGAGCTGTGAGGCCGCTTATGGCTTATCGGCCGCTCATGCTTTTGGTTCATGATTCCGAAACAAGGGAGTCGATTTCAGAATAAGCAAATTTTAGGTGTAGGACTCTGTAAAATATCAGCCAAAGTGAAAACGGCAGAAAAACCATAGTAATCACTGTTTCATCCTGGTGACGATCACCTTTACACATACCTATTCGCGTTTAACTGCAGCTGGTTTTATGACACCTGCAACGTTTGGTTCCATTTCCGTACTGTACCAAATATTTGAGCTTGAAAAACAGTTCCCCTTCATCTTCCTGAGAAAGAAAGATTAAGAAGTACAAGAAAGCGATGTAGTTATGGGTAGAAGAATATAATTGCCTCTTTGACTTAGTATAGGCCCACATGACAAGATCCTAACTTCTGGTAAAAAAAACAGCGCCAGGACAGTGAACGACCCACATTATCGGTCGAGAAAATCTTGTCCTGAAATAAACACCTTCATCACCAATGCGTCGAATTGAAAGCTCCGCCGTTGAGTTGTATTTCCTCTGAACCTTTTTTTAATCACCCGATTGACATGGTCTCTATGCATGTCTCCCTCCTTATCTGACATTCGAAGCAGCAATAAAGGATTTTTGGATCCTTCAGGGTATTATGTTGGTGGTCATTTTGAACCGTACTCCCTGGTTCCTTGTCCTTGGATGCCGAAGCATTTGTAGAAGGGTAGGTTTTGTTTACTTCATGTGCTGATTCTTCCTGGTCTTTCTCTCGTAGACAACTTCATGCGTGTTCTGCCCCAAGTTGCTGTTAAGCAGGACCTCATGAGGTTTTGCACTAGATGGATCCGACCGACAATGAAAGAGCTCAAGACTGATGGAACAATGGCTAGGCGGTGATGCTAAGCGTTTCTCATTGATCGAGCTTTGTGCTCGGCTGTACAAGCTCTTGTATCCCCGCTTCTTGTAATAATCTCTTCTTCACGAGATTGTTGGACTGCTTTGTCACCCACTTGATGCTATTCGTTGCCGATGGCCGATAGCAATCGATGATGGTGGGATGGGATGGCGTTAGAAGAGAGCCATGTAAATTTATGATAGTGGATTTCCCGCACAATTGTTTAGTTAATATATCTTCTAAGACTTGGCCAGGATGAGTGTCGGTGAATACTCGTTGCGGTTGATTTGCAATCATAAATGACTGCAGAAAGCAATTGAGATCCAGAATTTCTGTATTTTGCATCTTTCGTTTCGATTCAAGTACTTCCTTATTCATCCGATGCGCTTCAACGTGAAGGAAGCTTATCCTCCCAATACACGGCAGCGTGCATCGATAATGGTTGGCAGACCTGGATGTTGGGAGCTCGCACGTTTACAGGAACTCCAATGGCTTCCTTACGATCCAGTCGCTGTGTCTGATCTTGTATGAGGATCTCGAAAGCCTCCTGCCATGACCCCAGTCCCGCAAGGACATGATCAAGGTTGCGTTCGATACTTGAAGACACAGCAGCAAGGTACGGGTCAGTCCCCATACTCGTGGCATCTTTATCTGATGGTAAAGGGAACTCCGAGGTATTCAACCGATACGGCACATGACTTTTGCGCATGAGAGGCTCTGGTCTGGATATTTCAGGAGCTCCAGCAGCGCTTTTTAGTGTCTCAAAATCGACCCACTCCTCAAGAGTCGGAATAGGTAAGCCATACTGATAGAAGTCGGTTTCCTGATCCATAAAACTCCACTCTCTTGCCGAAAGTTCTTGTTCTGCCTGCATATAACCGGAATCGTGTACCCCAAAGTCTTTCTGCAATGCCTCATACTTGTCAAACGCATCGTGCAAGTCGGTGGGAAAAGCAATTTGTTGAGTAGCTAAATATTCTCGAAGACGTTTTAGAAGAGCAGCTCCCGCATCGCCAACATCTATGCGACTCAGCTGAGCCTTTCGAGCCAACATTTTTACCCTTCTGCGATATATAAGAAGCTCTTGTCTGGCAGAAGCTAGCTCTTTCTGAGAATCTGATGCAACTTGCAATCTTTTCACGAAGTTGGGGCACGAGTTCATTGATTGGTGTCCGCCTTCTCAGGGGCAGTGCGAGTTTGTCGTCCATCTCCATCGAGCAAAGATGTGGCAAGCGTCTCACATGTCGCATTTAGGTAACTGCAAAACTACTGAGAATACGTAATTGGAGAAATAGTCTGAAAGCATTTGGTAAATGCCACTGGTTTGGATGGCTATGCCAACCTATGGGTAGGAGACTTTGAAGACAAAGTTTGCACTCTGATAAGAGTCCGCGGGGACCAGCGCAGGGCCTGGGCGGCAAGCCTTTGTTTTGCCCTGGTAGCCTGCTGGCCCATGAATAAGATTAGTAGCACAGAATATGTCAGCTTTCTGCAGATCGAGATGGCATCAGTAAGACGGCCTGCAGCTGACGCACTACCGTATCATGATGCATTTGAACCATTTGCTCGGACCTTTTACTGTGCGGATTGCAGCCCGAAACCAATGGATCGCCTTGTGGTGGCATGTCATATGACCATGGGTTTAGCGTCGGGCGACTTGGGCTTTACTCCGAGTGGTTAGAATATCCCTGTAGGTTCAAGTCCACGTCACAGCGGCAAATTTTTATAGTTATATAAGTAGTAGCATGTTATATAACTATAGGTTTAGCGTTAGGTAACTTAGGCTTTACTCTAAGTAGTTAGAATATCCCTATAGGTTTAAGTCTATATTATAGTAGCAAATTTTTATAGTTATATAAACTAGCCTATAGTTAAGTATAAATTAGGGTAATTTAAGTAAGTAAATATAGTTTTTATTACTATCTTTTTTAAATATATTCTAAACCTATTCTTAATAATATATAGGTGTTCCTAAATACTATACTAGAGTTTAGTATAGTAGTACTAAATAACGTATCTAAACTAGATAGTAATATTAGAGATAAATTTAGGCAACTATATAAAGTGCTAGAGGAGGATAGTAGTAGTAGTATTAAGGAAGTAAGTAAAAGTAAATAGAATAAGTTTAGAATAGGTTAGTAACACGTTATAGGGGTATAATATATACCTTACTTATAGTAATAGTTAAGGACTACTACTTACACTAGTAATTATTAAGTATATAGCTATTCTCCTAGTATACCCTTAATTATATAGCTAAGGGTATAGGTATATAATACTAGTTTAGCAATATAAAGATAGCTCTTACCTAATAAGAGAAGAGGTGCTTATATAGGCTACACAGGTAATATATTAAGAATATGTTCTTAAATTATTCTAATTCTAGCAGGTATAATACTCCTACTAGTCTATCTATCTTAATAGGCCTATAACTTTACTATTCTTTAATAGCTAGCTAGCAAGCTAGTATAAATACTAATACTCTAGGGTAAAAGCGTGTAAGTATCTTAAGAATATATTATAAATATATTCTTATTACGTTATTAATAACGTATTATATAATTAGATCTAAACCTTAAAAAGTGTAGTACCTAAGAAAATTCTATAAAGAGAACTATAAATAAGAAGCTATTATTATAGCCTTATTAAGCGCTTCTCTTTAAGGATTTATAAGGACTACTAGGTATCTTATTATCCTATAATAAGGACTATAGTAAATTAGGTAGGGAGCAAAACTTAAATATATTTAAAACGTGTTAATAACAAGTTAGTAAATTGTAGAATAGGCTTAACTATATATTAGCTATTAGAACTATAGCCTAATATCTACTACTAGGAAAAAATATTATTTTAGTTAGGTACTACTAGAGGTAGACTCTATATATCTGCAAGGTCTTCTAACTAGGGAGATATTAAATCTTTCTAGTAGTCCTACTTTATATTCTATAGTTAAGCCACAGTTAAGCATACGATAAAGAAGTGTAGTAGGTATATTGCAACCTATTCCTAATATATTCCTAATATATTCTAGGCGTTAATTATCTATAAGGGCAAGGATCTCTATTTAAAATCCTATATAAAGTTACCTTCTAAGTAATTATACTAATAGATATAGTAGTAATACCTTTTTTTACTATTATTTCTTTTAGTATATATATATATATACCTCCTCCTCCCTTAATACTATCTAATAGTAATATTAAGGAAGTAGTAAAGGTATTATAGCCTATACTTACTCTATAGCTTATATAATATAAGTTATTTATAACTTATTATAAATATATTCCTAACTTATTATAGCCTAGTTCCTAAACTTAACCTAGCTCTAAACCTATCTCTAACTTAAAGGTTTCTATTCTATTAAAGAAATATATATTAGCTTTATAAATAAAGATAAAATCTTGCGTATTATAAAGCGTGAAAAGCTTCTATAGTTCCTATTTAAGAGTAGCCTTAGAGGAGTATACTATAAGTAGAGGATAAAGTATTAGAATCCTAAAACTATATATAGTGTAAGAGAACAGGTTTAGAATATATTACTAACACGTTACTATAGGCGTATATATAGTAAATCTTTATATTAAGCTTAGGTAACTTAATTATTTACCTTTTTAAAGAGTAGGTATTAATTCTATTAGATTAAGATATATTCTAGATAGATATGTTATATAAGAGGTTATATAGGGCATAGGCAGAGATTCTAATAGTAATCTTCTACCTATAGGAAAAGAAGCGTACCTATTAAGAACAGGTTTATAACATGTTTCTAACACGTTATAGTTATTACACTTAGCTAAATTATTATAGATAAGGATATAACTAAGATATATTAAGTTGCTATTACTAACTTCTTTTAGAAGTGTAAAGCACTTATAAAAAGATAAGTGTTATAGAGGTATATTTACTTATAGGGATTCTATAGGACTACTATTAATATATGTAACAAGTAGATAATAGGCAAGTTTTATAGCGCACTATAACCTATTTGTAACGTATTTCTAACTTGTTTCTAGGACTTAGGCGCTATCTCTAGTTAATTAATCCCTACAAGCGTAACTAGCGCTAGCAACTTTAATCTTGTATAAGATTTTATTAAGTATATCTATAAAGAAGTATTTATAAAGTATATAAAAGAGAGCTAGATAATACTACCTCTTTATATCTAAGTAAATTACTATAGGTATTAATAGCAGAGGAATACTTTTAGCTTGCTAACCTCCTCTTACGTAAGTAAATATATTCTAAACCTATTCTAAACATATTCCTAACTTATTCTTATATAATTAGAACACAAACCCTCTAAAGATACCTATGGAAACTAGGCAATCTATAAGAAAAACCTAGTAATTACTGCTAGGATTGTGTAATACTATAGTAAAATATTAAAAGAGGTATAGGAAAAACTAGAATCTTATTTAAATATAGCTAAGCAAGTAGGCTAGAAAGGATATAAAACTAGTAAGCATATAAGTATTCTTAAGGCTACTTAGAAGTAAGTTTATAACCTATTCTTAACCTATTAGAATTATATAAGTAATATTATATAGTGTATACTAAATAGATCTATAGGATATAAAAGAGTTTAAAGCCTAGAGTAAGTTTAGAATACGCTATAACTATAGAACTCCTAATAGGCTTAAGTAAAGGTACCTTAAAAAGCTTTAGAGGGGAGAAAGTAAGTCTTACGCTAGTATTATATATATTTGCTAATTAAAATATATTTAGAATATGTTTAGAACGCGTCTTATAATAATAATAACACTCTAGATAATAATAAAGTAAGTCTTGCTATATCTAACTTAACTAGATATATCTTAGCCCTAATAAGAAATAAAAGAGCATGCTTAAAAGCCTAAAGCTAGAGGGCAAGTAGTAGAGTAGTATTAGAAAGAAGTTTACTAGCCCCTTTTCTATCTTCTCTACTACTAGGCTCTTCTCCTCTACTAATAGCAACCTAAAGGTATGCTTCGCGAAACACGTTTATAACACATTCCTAACTTGTTATTAGTCTATAACTATAAACTTTATAATAAAAGGCTCTTCTTAGTAATTAGGCTCTAAAGGAGAGAAAAGAAAAGCTAGAGGTAGATAAGGAAGAACTTGTATAGAAAAAGGCACTATTTAAATTATAAAAGGTATAGTTTAAACTTAAGAAAGAGATAGCTACTTTTTATATAAGGTAGGGTTAGTCTATAAATATAGTAACTAGTTCTTAACTAGTTCTTAATATATTCTAGTCTATTACGTAAGTATATATAAGTAGATAAATATATATTCTTTCTTCTTCTCTTTCTTCTTCTTTCTTCTTACACTCTATAAGAACTTTTTATATTTAAGAGTTTAATACTATTTTACTATCTATCTTTCCTAATATTATTAGATATAACTAGTTAATATAGTCTATAAAGATCTTTTAAAGTTAGTATGTGATAGAACGCGTTAGGAACACGTTGTGAACTTGTTCTAACACTAAGTAGGATTTATACTAGTAATATATTAAGCTTAAGTCACTTCTATCTAATACTAAGGTATTCTCTCCTGTAATATCCTACCTAAATAATAGGTGTATAGTATTTCCTAGCAAGCTTTTCTACTAGGCTATTTAGGCTAGATTAGGGGTATAGGAACTTTGTAGAGTATATATATATGCGAGTTAGAACACGTTTATAATATATTAATAACTATTTTAGTGTTACTTCTCTAATAGAGGCAATCTTATCTACTACCTTAAGAGGTATTATTCTAAGGTTTAAATAGCCCTAGTAAACTATAGCAGAATCACAATATAAGGTATTATAGAAGTAAGGATCTTCTATAGGAGCTTAATAGTAAATACTTAAGAACGTGTTCTAAATATATTAATAATATATTCTCTGCTAGTAGAGTAGACTACACTAAGTGCCTCCTCTAAGGTTTAAGAACCCTCTAAGATAGCTAGTCTATAACAAGAAGTAGTAGCTAGAGTAGAGGCTAAAGAGGAAGTAGAGAGTAAAGAAGAGGAGTAAATAGTTACTCCCCTTTACACTATAAATAATATTTAGTAAAAGTAGTAAAAAGGAGATATAAGTCTAGTCTCTTAAAACATGTTTAGAATATATTAATAATATATTATAGCTAGACACCTATAAATACTAGATTCTTCTTTAATCTAAGGGACTACTAGAGCTTTATAATACCTATAAAAGTAAAAAGAAAAAGTTATATACTATTAAAGGACCCTATAAAAGTAAATAGTACTTTACTTTTAGTAGATAGAAAAAAAAAAGAGAAGAGTAGAGAGTTTATTTTAGTAATTACTACTACCCCTTTAGGTTATATACTATTATATATTATTTATTAGAACCTATTCTTAACACGTTCTTAACGTGTTCCTACTTATTACTATTATTATCTCCCTCCCCCTCTCTAGTATCTTCTCTATCTTCCCTATCCTCCCTAGGCTCTACAAAAGCATACTATAAGTAGAACTAGGTAGTATTCTAGCAGGAATTAGCAAGGTCTACACTAGTATTAAAGTAATAGTCTTAAAATATATTAGGAATAGGTTGAATAATATCAGATTATAAATAACTTACTATAGCTAGGATAATTATAAGCATAGATAGTATAAGGAACCTAATAACCTTAAATCCTTAGTAGGGTAGATATAGTAATAAAGTTAAGCTATAATAAGTTAGTAACGTGTTTTTAATAGGTTCTTGTAGGCTATACCTTATTACTATTATAGCTAGTGCAAGTCTTCTTCTAAATTATATTTAGGAGGGTATTAGTATTTATAGGGGGGCCTATAGTAGCTGCTAGCTAGGCTTAGAGAACTTCTATAAAATAAGTTAGTAATAAGTTTTAAATATATTCTAAATAACTTATAGTAAGGAGTATTCTAGTAATTATATATAACCTTTATATAGAAGTCTATATATATTAGTATAACAAGTTAAGAATAGGTTAATAATATATTTACTCTTTGCCTTATAGACCTCCCTTATAGAGGGCTAGCTAGTCTTCTTAACCTTACTAACCTTATAGTAGGCTATATTAAGCCTATAATCTTTTTTAGCATAGGTATATAGAGTGCCCCTAGTACCTAGAATAGCCTAAGAATATTAGAACCTATTTAGAATATATTTAGAACCTATTCTTACTCTATATAAGGTGCCTTTATTATTAATCTTAGTATAGTAGTAGCGCTCTCTACTCTTTATCTTAACTACCCTATTAGGGCTAACTATAGGCTATGCCCTAATATTATCTAGGATATAGCTAAGGGCAAGGTACTATTAATAGTGCTTCTATAACCTGTTAAGAATATATTCTAAACACGTTTTAATCTGCTTATATAGGATATAAGGGATGCGTTAGTAATAGGTATAGTAGTAGTAGCTTATAGTATTACTAGTATAGAATATATTTAGAATAGGTTTAGAACACGTTGCAAAATCTTATAGTATAATATTTAGTTAACCTTGCTTAGCTAGCTAGTAGAGCTTGGCATAGCCTAACCCTATGCTAAATACGAGTTCACGCAGCGCTAATTCTATGGTTATATGAACTGCGCCCTCGATCGCCTTCTTCTGTCGCAGCATTAGCGTCCAGTATGCTCAGTTTGAAATATCCAACTTAATTGGCTGTTGGCCGGGCACGACCCCAAGCCTTTGGTACGACATATCATGCCTTACCAGATTCGGTACCTACAAAAACTATGTAATGTTGTGATCCGTGTCAAACACGGCATCCCTCCAGTATACCTACACCGATCAAACCAGAACCAATTTTACATGCAAATGTAAAGGCATTTTACGATTATGGAATATACGACTGGCCCATAAACCTCACTCGTTACAGTATGCCTCGAACGTGTTCGAATGAGATATGTCTTTGGAGCGGAGCCGCATCTGGGCAGCATCTGGGAACCACATATAAACTAACTGAAAATGCTCAAGGGGTAATCATGAGCCTTTGGTCCTATGGCATCGTGAATCATGGCAAGTCGGTGGACTTGGAGCCAGAACTCACAGGACTATTACGAGGTAACGTATGACAATTACAGTGAATTATGAGTATATAAAGAGCAATATAACCAACCATGACTTTCGGCCGACTGATTCACAGACCGGCCTACCTATCACTGGTATTTGCAAAATCAGGTCAGAGGCCAACAGCTGGAATCTAGCACGCACGATGTTCGCCTCCGAATTGACTCAGGTACGAAACGGATAATTACGACCAACATAGTAAGGATGCCAGAGTCAGGTACGTCTATATTAAACTCACGTTTACTTTATCGCTTATTCTAACATATGCAGTGTCAGAAGGAGCACCGGTTCGAGGACTGAAGGACTTTATTGCTGGAAGGCCGAACACTGATTAGGTCGACCGACTGGACTCAAGTAAACAGCAGACAAGGAACTCAGACCAAAATTTACACATTATTGGATTTTGCAATATAGTTGAGTACGAGGAGGATTGAGGTGATTCAGACGCCACGTAGAGGCATATGAACTACCGGGGCTCCAGGCTACGGACTGATTAACGTGATCCACCACCGAGCGCCCACCCCCACCGAGCGCCCACCAACACCAAAATCACCAAATTTTTAACACTAAATTTCTTAATAACTATAGCACCTATTAATAACGCGCTTGCAGTAATTAAATCCTTAACTCTTAGAGAAGATTTTATATACTTAGAAATAGTAGAAAAGTATAGTTACTTATAGTTAACCTTATCTAGACGCTACTAGAAAATTTAGCAGGTATATACTACTACTCTACTAAATAGTTAAATACTTAATACTATATAAGAAAGTAAGCTTATAAAGTATATTAAAGAGCTTTATAAGTAAGGATTACCCCTTATATAGACTATTATTTAAAATTTTATAACTAAAATAATAGGGAATCTAGTAGGTAAAAATTAGGTATAGTACTTTATTAACTACTATAATATTAATCTTATCTCCTATTAGGCTACTAGGCTTAATTATAACTACTTTAAAGCTAATTCTACCTTTAAGTATAGCTTATACTTTAAGCTTTTATACTAAAAAATAGAGTAATATAATATTAAGAGTTAGTATATCTATAATATAAATAAGAAGGGTTTTCTTATTAGAGTACTATTAAAAACTAAATATATATTTAATAAGAGCGCCTATAAGTAGAGAAAGATTAAAGCTATACTCTAGGATAGTAATAGGGAGTAGATTACTACTATAGCTTATATATACGCTAATAGTACTACTCTTACCTCTACCCTTATTTATTAGTCCTAATCTAGAGCTCTATAGGATACCTAGTTATAAGATTTTAACCTATTATAATACTAAGCTTTCTTTACAGGATTACTAAGTAGGTAGATAAGCTATACCCTAGGGGTATCCTAGCTTAAGGAGGTGTTTAATTGCAAGACAAAAGCTAAAGCTTATACTTTATACTAGCTCCTTATCCTTAATAGCTATAGATCTTATATAATAATAGAGTTTATTAAGTACTATAATAAATATAAGATCTTACTTATAATATATCCCCCTTATAGCACTTATACCCTTTAGCTACTTAATATTATAGTATTTGCTCCCTTTATAGCTTTATATAAAGCTTAACTATCTAGTTTTCTAGATAGCTCCTAAGGGCTTATAAATATTACTAAGAGGGATTTCTACTAGTTATTTAATACTATATAGAGTAATACCTTTAAGGAAAAGCTAATATTAATAGCTTTTAAAGTAATAGGTATCTTACTACTTAACTATAACGACTTAGGTAGGTAGGGCATCCAAAAGGTATCCTATACGACTCAAAGGCATATAGGAGTGCGCGTCTGTATAGAAAAGGATAAGATTCCTACACCTATAGGTCTTGTATAAAAGGACAAGAAGAACATGCCTATCCTAACTATAGGCGAGCTATTCTCTATATATATTAGTAAGTTAGGCCTTTATTAGGCCTAACTTAGCATAGAATAATAGGCAGGCAATTCTACCTTATTATTACACTACCCCCTCTTATAGAGAAAGGATAGTCCCTATCCTTAGGATTAGGTTCAGATCCCTTATTAAAGAAGAGCTTTTTGCAAAATAATTCCACCTTTACCTCTGCCTTTACCTTTACTTCTTCTTCCTAGGGCACAGACCCCTATCCTTAGCCTGCCTATAACTAGCCCTCTACCTACTAACTTTCTTATTCCTATATCCCTAATTTTTTAATTATTTAACCTAATCTATCTAAAATCTAGTAAGTATTTAATCTATATAATTAAACAGTTGCTAATCTAAATTAGAACCTTTAGCTATGCTAGTACTAGTACTACTAGGAGTCCTCCCTATTACTTATCGCGCTCTCTATATAAGAGCTATTAGGGCTCTAGCTAGGGGCAGGTTTAATAATTTTAATTTTAAGTTAAAGAATTCTAAGAAGTACTAGTACTGTATCTCCTAGAATAAGTATTGCAATCTAGTAAGTATCTAAGTCTTATAGGGTTCTTTTACTAATCCTAGTAGATTCCTTCTTTTATTAGCTAAGAGTACTCTACCCTTAGGGGTGCTCTAGAAGAATACTACAGCCTAATTAGAAACCCTGCTAAAGGGGATAAGGATAAGGAAGCTATAGTTACCTATTAGAAGGATATTAAGCAGTTTAAGGCTACTATTTAAGAAACCGCCTAAAACCTAGCTAAGTGCGTTACTATTGCTAATACTTAGACTAAGGGTATAGAAGCTGCTAAAATCCTTATAGCCACCTATTATACTACTATATCTAATTCACGTTAGCTTTAGAATAGTATCTATAAGATAGTCTTAGTAGTTAGGGGCCTAATAAAGGCTATAAACAAACTTAAGGAGGAATTAGCACTAAATTAGGAGGTAACTTTCTTAGTGTAGGCTAAGATAAAAGTATTCTACAAGAAGTAGTCTAAATTAGTCCTAGCTCCTGTCCCTACTCCCGCACCTGCTCTAATCCCTGCTGCACTAGTTATCTAGAAGCTAGCGAAGAAGGATAGTCTAGGCGCTATCTTAGCTAATACAGAGTCTAAACTAGGTTCTAATAGAGAGATAGATATAGAATAAAGAGGTTTCCTAGGGGTAGTGTCCTAGGAACCTTAAAGGTTCTAAATAGGATATAATAATAAATAGTAACAAGAATAATAGTAATAGCTAGTAGTTAATAGATAATATATAGCTAAATAGGATATAAATTAGTTCTAATATTAGGTATAATTATTATAAAGTAATATTAGATCCTCTTTCCCTTTTTCCTAGGCTTAAATCTATTTTAGTAAGCTACGTAGGGGACCTAGCTAATTTAGATACTATTAGTAGAATACCTATAATTTATAGGGAGCACCTATAAAGTTAGAGGTAGGATACTAAATAGGATTAGGATTATATCTAACCTACTTAACCTTATATTTTAGCTTAGATTAATATAATTTGCTAGCTAGGATTTCTTCTACCTCCTATTCCTCTACACCTTGTATAGGGGTACTAGGGGGTTTTAGAGCCTCTTATCTAGGTAACAGGTCTTAGGGATCTTTATATAGTATATTAGGAGAGAAAATGTTATAGATCTTAGAACTAGGTAGTAATTAGAGGTAATACGCGTTTCCTACTTATTCTAATACCTTAAAGGGACCTTCCTATTGTTTAGATAGTTTTTAGCTAGGTCGTGAAATAGCAAGATTAGTAGTAGATAGATAAATATAGTTACTAACCTTCTAGTTAACTAGATAGTAATAGTAATTAGTAGCAGAGCGTATTTAGTCTTAAGCTCTTTCTATATTTTCTTTAGTAGTCTTCTAGGCGTTGTGTATCTAAGTAGTAAGGGATAAGGCGTCCTTATAGTTTAGTTTCTCTAGTATAGTAGATAGGGTCTTTTCTAGTTTCTAATTCTAACTTTGCTTTAGTAAGGAACTAAAGAGGAGCTAATATAGAGCTATACTAATAGATAAATATAGAAGAGTACTTTAGGCACAGTCTATTATAGGTAGTAGGTTACTCTAGTTATCTTAGTAATAGGATATAAAAGGCCTTAGTCTCTAATTAATATACTTATTTATAATCTTAGTTTGTCTATTAGTTTATTTATAGTAGGTAGTAGAGAGCTTAACCTTAGTGCCTATAATCTAATAGAACTTAGACTAGAAACTAGATATAAACTAAGGGCCTTAATTAGAAATAATAGTATCTAGAGTGTGTCTAAATTAGTACACCTACTAAATAAATAAGGTAGCTATACCTTAGGCGTCTATAGTTTTATAGCAAGGGATAGTAATAGCTTGCTTTAATAGGCGATTAATAATAACTATAATCTAATTATAACTACATTAATCCTAGGGAAAATCCTTAAAATTAATGCACAGGTGTTGTATTAGTAGACTAGGGATTAGAAGGGGGTAGAGTATGCTAGGGAGTTAGTGCTGTCTTAGGTGCCCTCTCCTGCATAGGATACAGTTTCAAACATAGCGTTTATAGGTAGCCTCTATACCTTTCTAGTAGTAATATTAGGCTAGAATCTAATAGGTTTTAGTAGCTAATAGGTAGGTAGTAGACACTTAATTATAAGCCTTACGAATTAGTCTAGTATATAGGACTAATCTAGCAGGCACGCAAAGTTAATCCTAGTAGAGAAGGAGTCTATTTTCTATCTAATAGTGCTTAGGCAACTCTAATCTTTCTATCTAGAATAAGGACCTATTTTCTTAGAGAAGAGTTTTAATAAGTTCTAGGGATCTAAGAGTTATAGGGTTCTAAACTGCTATAATTAAAGTAAGGATTAGTAAGGAACGCTTAGCTAGGTAGTCTTGCGCTAAGTTAGAGTTAATTTAGGGGTATAACCTATCTAGGGTGATTATTACTTATAAATAATTATCCCTCTAAGTAGTCTTAAGGTTAACTATATCCTATTCCCTTCTGCTTAGGATATTAGCGCGGGCGTTGTAAGATCTAGGAGTATACTTAATTTAGAAGTTAAAGGGACTTATAACCTCTAGCTATCTAGCTTGCCTAGCACTAAGGACTTTAGTAGATATAAAGTACTCTAGTGCTCTATAGTCTGTGTATACTCTAATAAAGTGCTAAGTACTTATTAGGTTAGCACGCTATTTCTTAAAGGCGTAGATTATTGCAAATAATTCTTTATTATAGATTTCCTAGTTAAGTTTAGAACTAGTAAGGGTCTAACTAAAGAAGGATATAAGGTACTATTTCCTATTAGGATGCTCCTATAAGAGGATAGCTACAATAACTCTATTAGAGGCGTCTATCTCTAGTTTTAGAGGGTACTTAGGATAGAAGTAAGCTAAGCTTAGGATTGCTAGCAGGGCATTCCTAAGCTAGTTAAAGGCTTGTTAGCATTCTAAAGTCTATATAAATAGGGTAGCAGGACTCTAGAGAGTGGTTAAGGGTTTAGCTATCTTAGAGAAGTTTTCCATAAATTGCTAGTAGAATCTAGTAAATCCTAGGAAGGACTTTACTCTAGTTATTGTCTTAGGAGTAGACTAGTTTTAGAGTACTTTAACTTTGTTAGGGTCTACCTCTAAGCCTTTATTAGTTAGGATATATCTAAGGTAACAGGTATAGGTTATATAGAATTCGCTTTTCTTAATATTAGCCTATAATCTAGCAGAATAAAGACGCTTAAGGACTTTTTAAACATAGTCCTTATAAATAGCAAGGTTTTTAGAGTAGATTAGGATATTATCTAGATAGGTAATATAGAAGTTGTCTAAATAATCTATTAGTACATTATTTATATAATGCTAATAGGTTACAGGTCTGTTACACAGCCTAAATAGTAGGACTTTATATTTATAGGCACTATACCTAGTGCGGAAAGTAGTGTACTCCTCTAAGTTAGGGTCTATTTAGATCTTATTAAAGGCAGCATAAATATCTAGCTTAGTAAAGATTTTTGCTTTAGCTAGTTAGGATAATAGATTATCTATGCAGGGTATTAGATACGCGTCCTTTTGCGTTAAGCTATTAAGCTTCTAGTAATCTATATAGATCCTAAGGCCTCTATTTAGCTTCTTAACGTATAGGATAGGAGAGGCAAATAGGCTCTAACTAGTCTTAATAAAACCTTTCTGTAGGTGCTCTTGTACATATTCCTTAGTAGCCTAGAGTTCCTTAGTATTTTAACGATAGAGGGGACTCTAGTAGTTTAGAAGGGGTTCCTCTAAGACTATCTTATAGTTATAAGGCTAGTAGATTAGAAGTTTATTAGCCTTAGCCTTATTAAAGACGTCCTAATAGGAGTTATAGTTAGATAGCAGCTTCTAATCTAACAAGTAGTAGTTAAAAGTATCCTATTTAGATAGGGTTTAGATCCTACACTTAATCTTGTACAGGCTAGTAGTAAAGAATTTATTAGAAGGTTTTTTTATATTAAAATAGAAAGCATTAGCAGAAATAGTAGTAATTTAGAATTTTACAGGTAGGGTAATAGTTAGCAATTAGACTAGGGTAGGTAGCGTAATAGGTGTAGTAGCAGCCCTATAAGTGGCTAGAATTTTAAGTATACTACGTATCCTGTTAATTAAACTAGGACTATTTTAGTTCTAGTTCTCCTCTTAATCCTAAAGGGCGTCTCTTTGCAAGATATTGTGGGTAACTAGAGTAGACGGCACTTGCTAGTAGAGTTGTACTAGAATAGGAGGTGCGGGGTTGTAGGTTAGAGGATATTTCTCTAGCTAGATTAGTTAAGATTTATCTATATTAATTAGGATTTAGAACTGTTTTAGCTAGTGTTATCTAATAATACAATCCTAAGAATCTAAGTCTACTATTATAAAGGGGTAGTTATAAACCTTTTAGCTACTAACTATTATATAAAGCTAAATGTAGTAGGTAACTAGGGAGGTAATCTAGTCCTAGAACCCTTTAATAGTAAGCTTATATAGTAACTTTTAGATAGGTACCCTAAGCGTAGAAGAGATATTATAAGCAATTTTTAAATTAAGAAATAAGTAACCTTAGGCCCTAGTATCTACTAAGGCGTTTAGTTAAACACTAGATCTATTAAGGTATAGGGTTATACATGTAAGCAAATATAAACTAACAAATAATTTAGTTAAGGAAAGGTTTAATAGGTTATATTAAGTTAGGCCTAGGAAGGAGGATCCTCCTAGGCGTTATTATTTCCTATCTAATAGCTATCTAAATTAGTTAATTTAGCGGTATCTTCTTCCTTAGAATTCTTAATAACCTATTCTACATCTATAGCCTAAATCCTAGGGGGTTTAGGGTAGTTACTAGAGAAGTGCCTAGGCTTTCTACAATTATAGCAAGTTACTAGGGTTCCTAGTGTAGTAGCGCTAGGAGTAGCTAGCGTAGCAGGTGGGGGTTAATTATTTTAAGGGGTAGTGCCTTATTATTATAAGTAGGGTATATAAGGTTTAGCTATTAAAGGTCTATTATAGGGTTTCTAATTAGCGTCTAAATAGGACTAGTTTCTAGAGTGTTAGAAGGGGGTTAGTCCTTTTCTAGATAATAGAGTAGTCTAGGTAGGAGTAGATAAGGTAGGGTATAGGTAGTGTTCTATATTAAAAGTAGTAAGATAATCTACTATAGTCTTAAAATTATTGTGCTAATTCTATTAGAAAGTAAGGTTTAGCATCCTTAGGGAAGGTGTAATCTTTATCTAGAGGTAGTAATACTACTCTAATTAGGGTACTTCTCCTTTAATAGTAAGACTCTAGAATTATAACTTAAAAGCAGGGAATATCTCTATATTAATTATATACAGGCGGTTAAATACAGTCTAACTCTTAGCTATCTTATTTCTAGTAATAAAGTAAGTTTAAAGGAGGGTAATTATTTCCTTAGCTTTTTAGAATTAAAGACTTAGGGAATTAGATAGGTAACGTGGCTCTAAGTATTCTTTTGCTAGTCCTAAGCAGTGTCCCTAGACTAACGCTATCTAAGCTCTAGAAGAGGGGTAGTAATTAGCGTTAATCTCTAGCCTATCCTAAATAGATACTTGCTATTATCTAAAAGTAGGATTAGCACTATTACTAAGTATAGAGATATTTAGTATCTTTTTAGATTATCTCTTAGCTTTTATAGTATATACTATAGGGTTTAATATAGAAGCTAAAGACTAGCTAGGTTAGAAATTCGGGTATGCTGGAGCCCTCCGTCTCTTTATAGAGGGAGGTGTTATATAACTAATTAGTAAGTTACTTAACTTGTTCCTCTAACCTCTCCTTTTTAGATAGGGTTAATATATATTTATCTTTAAGGGAGGTGTTGCTTTAAGATTTCCTAGGAGCACAAGGTACCTTAAGAAATAGATAGGAAGAGGGTCCTTTAAGGAGGGCGTTATTAATTAAGTCTTCCTTATCTAATTTCTTTCTATTAGTAAATAGGCTTTTAAAAGCGGCTAAACTAGATACCCTTCCTTTGCCTTTATCTAATATTTTGTAGTTAATAAGAATAATAAATCTTTTCTTTTCTTTTAGGGGGTTTAGTTATAGGAGGATATTAGCTTTGCCTCTAATTCCTCTAGGCTTTTAGTAGTCTCTAGGTCTCTACCTTAACGTAATCTAACGCGATTTTTCTAAAGGTAATCTAGCACTACCTATAGGTCTAGAAGTCTAAGCTTATAGGCTTTAGTTATTAGAAGTTCTAATAGCTATTCTAACTATAGAGTTACAGGGTTAGGTAGCTACTAGAACTAAATTAGTAGCTTAAAATAATAACAAATGCAATATTCTTAAATACTATTACTAGCTAGGATAATATTCTTCTTATAATATAATAACTTAGGTAAGTAGGGTATCTAAAAGGTATCTTATATAACTTAAAGGTATATAGGAGTGCGCGTCTATATAGAAAAGGATAAGATTCCTACACCTATAGGTCTTATATAAAAGGATAAGAAGAACATACCTATCCTAACTATAGGCAAGCTGTTCTCTATATACATTAGTAAGTTGGGCCTTTGTTAGGCCTAACTTGGCATAGAACAATAGGCAGGCAATTCTGCCTTATTGTTACATTAACCTTAATATTATCCTTTTAAGGTTTAAAGCACCTATAAATAATAGTAACTAGCCTTCTTTAAGTAATAGTATAACCTTAATATTAAGTGTAAGTAATTAGAGAAAGATAAAGTAGTTACTCTATAATACTATAATTAATATCTATAATAAATAGTTAAAGAAGCTTAGCTAGATAATCTATACTATATTAGTAAGAAATACTCTACTTAACTATAAAAATAAATACCTAAGGGCTACCCTAGCTAATAAGAAGAAGCGTAGGAAGTGTAGTAAACCTCTATTATTACCCCTTAATAATAATTATAGTAGTAGTACCTAATTTATTTTACTATTAAAGGTAAAGCAAGTGTTTAAGCTTTAGAAGTAAAAGAACCTTAAAGAATAAGAGCTATAATACTAAAAAAGCAAGGTAATTAAGCTTTATAAGTAATAGAAGCTTGCTAAAGCTTAACTTATAGAGGAGCGTTACTTAAATTAAGTAATTACTAAGAAGGAGTAGGAGAAGAAAGCTACCTAAAAAGCTACTATATATAATAAGTAGAAAACTACTAAGTAACTAGAAAAGTAACTCTAAAATAATATTAAAATATCTTAAATAGGTAAGAGGCAAATCCTTAAGCCTCCTACTATTATACTAGCTAAGGTGGTTAATAAGGAGCTAGTAGAAGAGGATATAGTAGTAGAGGTAACTTTATAGCGTAGGCGCCTAATTAGACCCCCTAAAAAGCTGCTTATATAATCTAAAATATTTAATCTACTCTAATAGATCTAATAATCGCAACTCTAAGAAATCTTGTAATAATAGCTATTGTGGGTGGCGCAATATCCTTATTTAGTGGGTGGTGGATTTTGGTGTTGGTGGGCGCTCGGTGGGGGTGGGCGCTCGGTGGTGGATCACGTTAGCCGATGAGACTTTAGTAGTATGTACGAATCACTATGATTCCAGATTCATGAATCACGTTGCACAATGGTTAAATAAGAAGCGCGCCGTGGTGATTCTTAATAAAGTATATATTTTGGTGGAACGAGTCGATGCAGTCTCGGACTGCATCTCAACGCTCATGATCCTTTTACCAAGGACTACTTCTTGCTTTTACCTCTTGCGTTGAATGTCTTCAATGGATCTACCTTGCCGTTCCTACCTCTGACCACCTTTCTACCCTTACCCTTGATAAACTTCTTCCGGTCCAGCCTAGGAAGGTTCAAGCCCACAAAGCCCACATCCTCTGGCTTCTTACCGCCAGGCAGCAGATAGTCTGGCACATGCTTGAGATGTGGTTGTATGCGCGCGGGGTGATTGAGGGTCTGATCGTGTCGCAGATGTGCCAGGGCTTCAGGGTTTTCCTCAAACTGGTCGTATTATTAGTAAAGGCTTCATGGCTTGCTGAGAAAGAACGCTTACGTAGCGCGAGAGTTTTGCTGACTTGGAAAGCTCCAATCGAATCTCCTTGATACGTGCCTCCCGAATCGCAATCCTTGTGACTGATCGCAGCGCATCGCCGAAACGGTACCTGAATGGCTCCAGCCGCTTCATGTCGAAATTGTAGTTTTCCAGTTTCTGGCCTTCCTCCTGGTGTTTCTCCACCTTTTTCAGTATCTCTTCGTCATTTTCACAGCCTGAAAATGTTGTTGATTTGTGTTTACGATACTTGTCTTTCGGTATGATGAAGGAGATGGCTGTGCCCGATTTGCCCGCGCGCGCAGTTCGGCCGATGCGGTGGAAGTATGATTTATAGGTGCCAGGGAAATCAAAATTGAGGACGCAGGATACATTAAGGAAGTCAATACCACGAGATACTCCAGAGTCGGTCTTGCTCTCATTCTCCTTCTTCGATTTCTTCTTGGGTCTCGACTCGCCAATCTCTTGCTGGCCCAATATCTCGGTCTCATCCGACGCAATAAGAATGTTGTAGATGTTCTTGTTGAACTCTTCGACGATATGGAGGCGGGAAGCGAGCGGAAGTTCGGAGTTCAGGACGCAGGACTTGATTCCAAATTGCTCAAGGAAGAGCTTCACGCGATACGAGCGGTCAGTGTCTCCAACGAAGACGATCGACTTGCCCTTGATTAGCTGCAACTTGAACATGGCATAGATCAAGAGAAATTTCTCCTCTTCCGCGCATTTTATGACATATTGTTTGACCTTTTGCGCGTTCTTGTCAAGGTCGTCGAGCTTCAGCACCACTGGATCCACGCAGAGAAGTGTACCAAGCGATTTAACCTCGGTGTTAAGCGTCGCAGACATGAGAAATTTCTGTACACCTGTCGGAATATTCTCCTCGATCTGGTCAAGGTCATCTTTGAAGCCGTAACCCATGACCAAGTCGCCTTCGTCCACCACCAAGTGTGCCAGCTCCGTCACCGAGAGGGCGCCATTGTTAATGTTGATCCAAGCACGTGCTGGAGTCGCAATAACAATGTCTGGCCTGTCGGCCAATTTTGCTTTGGTCACAAGCTCAGACTCCTTGCCAGCAATGTTCTGTATCCGAATGTCTTGTCCACAATATGCTGAGAGCGCTTTGGCGACTTTTGTGATCTGCAGCGCAAGCTCTTTGGTTGGTACAAGTATGAGCGACGATTTGCCCTTTCTGCGTAAAGTATTGTGCAAAATGGGAAGCAGATAGGCGCCTGTTTTCCCAGTGCCAGTGCCACTACGTGCGAGAATGTCTCGCCCTTGTAACGCCAGAGGTATTGCCTGCGACTGAACCGCAGTAGGTATGCTCCATTTCTGGTCTCTTATGCCCCGCAGTAGCCGTGGCTCCAGATCCAAGTCGGCAAATGACGGTGCTGGTGCTAATGCTGTTGCTTTCCTTGGTTTGGGCGACTCAGTCTGTGACGCATCGCTCGCTCTGCGTTTTGAAGCGGGCGAGGAACCGTCCTCGGCGTCGGGGACATCGTGCTCGTTGAGTTTGCGCTTCATCTTGTTTGCGGCCCTGATAGGTGTGGGGGTTGCTAAGAGTGGTGGTGATATGGGCTGTGAGCTGTGTAGAGTAAGAGTTGGCTTGTCTCCATGCATCTGAATCTTGTCTTTTCCCATAGCAGTTTCCGAACTTTTCGAGCGCTAGTCTTGAATAGGACTAGCGGGTCCCGCCTGCATCGGAGCCAGAGCACAGGAACACCGACGACTCCTTTAACCGCAACACGCTTGTATATGCTGGCTGACATCACTTAGTTCTTGCATTATCTATTAAAACATTTGATAAGGGCTTTCACGAACATTTGTGGCTCGTCAGCTTCGTATGTGTATACTTCGCTCGCGTGTGTCGTGTGTCATCATAGATCACAGTTGTGCGGTGCTTCGGAATGGCAGCCAAAGAAGATGAGATGTAAAAGCCGCCCCATCAACAATTACTAACAGAGATGGATAGATCCGGACTGAGAAAGCAGGAGGAGGATGTTCACAACTTCAATTGTTGGAAAGACATCACGTAGCCTTTTCCGCCTCGTGCAAGTATTGCATCGATGGGTGCTAAACGAACACCGGACTAAGCATCGAAGCTATTCAGGCATGGTACCATCTTCTGTAACATGTGGCGGCTTAGCTAGACTCAGACCCCTTTACAGACCGGCCCAACTTCAATGGAGGAAACATGGCGAGCTTCCAGCGTTCTAGGGCGAGGCCATATGAAACATGTTCGCTGTTTTAGTTACCTCGCACAGCTCGAGCACACCTACTGGCCGACCTCGGCAAGACTTCTATGGCGCTTTTTTCGAGGAATAATTCACACACTTCTTGAATAGACTAATTCAAATCACTTATCTTCTCGAATGGTGTCGGTACATGTCAATTCTGGAAGGAAATACCACGTCTTTGTCGCAGAATATCTGTCATACTGTAATACCAGATTGAAGACCTACCAGCCGAGATTGTAACGATAGTTCATGGGAATGACTGCTACTGCGTAGCTGATCTTCATCAGGAGCGCCACAGTACGCCGGAAAGCTTCTGACGGAACGCTAGAAAGACAAGGTTTAGTGGATGGGCTCCCTTTCGAACAGGAAGTGTACGATCAGACCCCTTAGATCGACGTAGAGTTCTCCACATTATCGCTTTTGTACGCCAGGCATTACAATTTCAAAACGAGGTGTGCTATGTTTGTCTTCCCCAATAGCCTCACTGGTGGCACGTTATCGGGCCGGGCAGTTTGGCTACATCTTTGCACTAGCTTAGCTACATGAAGCTTTTCGAAATGCGGGTGCCAGTGTAGATGGTGAAGCTCTCAATGGCTTTTGGAAGGTTTGCAAACCTACACGCCCAAATGAGAAGGGAGAAATGTTGTGGAGGCAATAGATGTGCCCAAACTTTGGGACGAAAAGCTGACTATAAAGGCTGCAACCTCTCCTGTACTCATAACAGCATCAAGATTACAGCAGCTCAACGCATTAATTACCTTTCGTCAATCGTTTCATTTAATCCCCTAACACCAACACTCTTTTAATTCATTGCACAGTCAATCAGGAAACTCTGCTATCATCATGTACATTTCTACCATCAGTATGAGCGTCATGCTCTCCGCCATCGTCTTGGGCGCGCCCGTCCCAAAAGCAGCCACTGGTTCCCCTCTCTCCGCCCTTGGTGGTTCCCCTCTCTCCGCCCTTGGTGGTTC